CAGTTTACCAACCAATAAAGCTGTCAGCCTGAGCAGTCATGCCATCAAATGTTGAAACACTGCATTTTCCAGTGTAGAAACTTGAAACTGCAAATATGTTTTTAAAAAATCTTATGTATCCAATAAGTTATATTTACAGAAATCTATTTAATGCCGTGGCTGAAGACAACTGCCTGTTTTTGATAAGGCAGTTTATTTCACTAAACGAGCCATGTTTAATTCTGGCATTAGATGTCCATGTTTTACACCAGGCATCCCCAAAGTCGGTCCTTGAGGGCTGCTGTCCTGCAGGTTTTAGAGGTTTTTCTGCTTTAGCACAGCTGATTCTGATGATTGCAGTTCAGCAAAAGCTTGTTAATCAACTATCAATGTAAATCAGCTGTGCTGTGGAGCAGGGAAACCTCTAAAACCTGCAGGACAGCGGCCCTCGAGGACCGACGAGATTCTGCTTCGACACACCTGAGTCAAATAATCAGGTCATCAATAAGACTCTGTAGGTCTATGATTCTTCCGAATACCTCAAATTCTTACTCCTACCTCCTGTTCCAAACTTCTGTCCCTTCACTTTTTGCAGGGTCAACAGTAAGAACACTATCCAAAGGGGGAGACAAGAGCTCTTGATGTTTATCATATTTTGACTACAGTCTTTTGAGAGAAAAAAAAAAGCAGAAATGTAGTGAACATTTGCAGAATGAAGTTCTCCACTGAGAGAAATATTTCTAAGTTCAACACAGAGTGCATGCAATGAAATAACGTTTTTAATTGTTCAACTCCATGATGCTTGCCTATATGTCGCCTAATACAAAGGATTGTATTGACACATTTCTGGATCAGCTTAAGTGTCCTTATCAGTTTGCACTATTCAGAATGAGACCGTAACTGCATAATCAAGGGGTGATTCGGTTGTTTGGAATCAGAGATGCATCTAAAGGGTGCGGGACAGCACATGTCAAGAACTGAAATTGAAGAAACCATCGCATAAAAATTCACTGCTGATATTTCTATATAATGCATAGCTGATTTGATGTCACTCCCTTCTATTAAATCAGTTCAGAACTTTATTGATTTAGATCAGTTAGGATGACCAAAATCAATAGACAATAGAGGAAATTATTTGATAGGGACAAACACACATTTACATAGACAAACTGAATGAAACAGCAGTCCCATGTTTGCATCATGGTGCAATAGCAACAGCTAATTTGCAGCACTTGTGCTGTTGTTTCATATTTGAAAGTGTAGATACACTAAGCTTACTATACCTTTAAGCCTAAAATAGGCTTCTGATGAAGTCATGGCTATGTGTGTTTCTGAGTGGTTATAAGTATGTTTTTCTTCTTCTTACAGTAAAAACACTGTTTACTTGGGCACAACGAAATAGATATCGAAGAGAGATTTAATCTCCAAAAGTGTAAACATGGGAATATCATGCCATTATACTGTTTATAGATGCCTCTGGTTCTGTTTCTCACAGAATGCCGTGTTTTGGTGGCAAATTTATATAATAATCCAAGGGTAAAGCCAAAATAAAAACTTTTCAGGATCATCAAAAAGGTGTAAGATGTTGATAAAATCCAAAGTGACAAGATCCAAAGTGGATTATAATAACATTGGTTGCAAGACAACTCAGGAAAGGGAAAAATATTACTCCAATACCCAGAACTGCTCTCTTTCAATTTTGGACACATTTCTGTGGATTACAAACAACTATTTCAAAAGGCTTTATTGGCCATTATTACTAGGGCTGTAAATCACATGTTTTATCACATTACGTTGAGATAAAACTGGTAATTTGTTTAGATGACACAATTGTCATACTTACAGAAATGCAATTAATAATAATAATAAAAAAAAAAATATCCAATTATTCATATTCTAAGAAGGTGCAGCCCGCACTAGAGTATCCTAAAGATAATTATGTTTTCATTAATATTTCAAATGTAGCATTGATGTAACTAAATTATTAATATTTTAACCAAAAATATCAATATGGATCCAGGTGTTGTTAGACCCCAATTACAGTATTACATTTTAGGAAAAAGGCCCACAAACACCATTCCTATTGTAAAGTAAATGAGTGGCAATGTAATCTTTTTTGGGTGCTTTACTATTTTAGGTAGGTTAATTGTGAGGAAAAAAGACATCGTGTGGAGATATTGAAGCAGAATTTCAAGACATCAAGGAGGAGATAAGTGTAGGTAGAAACATGACTCACTTACATTGCAGTAGCTCTGGTTGGAGGAATGGGACAATACTCCAGAAAACTATTGTTGTCAGGTGGTGGAAGAAAACCCAAAATGTTTGATCCACGTTTTACTGGTGGAATATCCAGGAAAATAACATCTATTTAAACTTCTACATTTTTATTTTAGGTGAACATTTTTTTTGGGAATAAAAGCAAAAAGCAATCATTTTTGGTACTTCTGTTTAACTTAAAGCAAGGCATTGTGACTCAGAGAGTAATACACATCATTATCTAGCGACAACTGTTTAGGCTACTGGCACAAAATGGTAAAGCCCTTCTTAAGCTAGACAGAAAATAAAACATTTTTTTCCCATGGACAAAAACCCCCAAAAAGGTTATTGTTTTTTTTTGTTTTTTAGAGAACTTTGATGGCACAAGGTATTTTGACAGTAAAGTAACACATACAAAAAAAAAATAATCATGTAATCATAGTTGAGGGTACAGTAAATTCACATAATGCTCAGTGAAGGATCTTGAATAATATCCAAAACAATCCACAAACTCACATATTTTGCTTCCAGCCACATTACAGAACAAAATATCGCTCTTTAAGCAAGTTTGCTTCAACACACACTTTATGTTATTACAAGGTATGCACTTTTAGGAATTAAGGCAAAATCCTCCTATAAATTTCATTTTGTCCCTCAGCGGGTAGTCATGGTTCTACTCACATGGATAAATTTAATCACATTTACTAAAGAACTGGGAAATTGTTCAAACATATTCCATCTTGCAGTAATTATTTTAAATCTGTTGCCTGCAAAAGCTCTTGACAGACCTCATCCCTGAAACGCTACGGTACCTCCAATTTAATGGCACTAAGGTAAGCACTGGGTACATTCATGCACAGTTGCATTTTTCATCTACATTTTTCATTAATGTCAAAATAAGTAACAGATATTTGGGGAAAACGAATTTAAGATAGAGCAGCATTAAGACCACTTTTTTGATATTCCAGGAGCCCAGCCTATCTGACAATAGCTTATTTTATCTCCATTTCCTGGAATGAAAAAAATGCTTTATCAGAAAAGATTATAAAACTGCATCATAGCAGAAAAACAATTTGCTGCAGTATGCCTGCCCTCTTATTCAGCCAAATGTTATTGCCTTTTGAATGCATTAAAGCTTGACTTGAATCAATTGTTTTCCACCACAAAAGAACACTGTAATATCTTTTGTGACCAGTATGCTGCTTTGGAATGCTACATACCTGACCAAACATCGCATTTGTTTCAGCAATATAGTGTTTGCTATTTTACTCGACTTGACAATCTTCATGTTTATTATTGCTTATAGTTTGTAATTATTGCTGTATAATTTCAAATAATTTGTAATTGGTATTGGTGAAGCTTAACAAAAGTACAATTAAGAAGGTATTATCGAATAGGCAGGAGTCACTTGCAGACAAATATCAAAATGGTGACAAAAAAAAAAAAGTGTAAAAGTTGCTGTATTCATAGCTCATTCAAGCTTACTTTCCAAAAAAAAAGATTTGCAATTTTTCCTCAATTTTCATCCCCTGGTGAGTGAAAATTGGGGACGAGCACATAGGACGGCCTTACGTAAAAATATCACCAGAATGATTGACAATTAGGTGGACCACTTATTTTGATGATCCACCTGGAAAAAGAACATCCTCCACTATACCTTTAAGGTTTATACTTAGTAAATGAACAATATTGTACAGTGAAGCAGGACACTGATGTGCTCCGGGTGCAGGTAATGAAAACATCTAAACTATTGTTTATAAGGAAAATACAATAAGTGCAATAAATCCTGAAAATATTAAGGAGTCATTCCAATAAAAATCCAAACTAATTTGACTCACTTTAGCATATTTTTATATACAGCACATTTGCTACAGAACGTCAAAGCAAAATGCATTGATTGTATTACTCTGTAGATAGTATTGTCTATATTAATTTCAGAAGAGCAACAGAAAATAAAAACATATATGTGTGTGTTTATGTACTGTACCAAAAAATATAGCAGTAAGAAAACAAAAACATCTAACAATATATTTGCTACTGAGTATCAAGATCCACTTTTCATGCTAAACTAAAACTAATATCTTGTTTTTCATTCCTGAATATTTTCCACCTTTCAAACTCTAAGTGTATTGCTTTATTTTCATTCACCTCTATTCAGAAAATAACTAATTAAAACCTGTAAGAAGTACAAGTGGCCCACATTGCTTATATATTTAAATCCTTTTAAATAAAGCAATGGTACTTTGTTGGAGGATTTTTTTTTCTCAAAGAACAAATGAGGGCAGAGAGTGTCCCCATTCTCTACGACCCCAACACTCATTTACAAGGACAGGAGAATGGCTTCAAATTAGAGAACTGCACAGGAATGGAAATAGAGGATGTGGTTGAAAATGCAGGGTGAAAACTATTTCAACTAGTGTAGTTATATTATAATATTTATTTCATTTTCCCTATAAATTATTTTTGAATTGAAAGTTATTTAAGTAAAATATTAATTCTAGTTGGCATAAAAATGTTCAAATAAAAATCTGATAAGGTCTGTCACAGAGTTTGTAAGCAGGAAGACTATTTTTGGTGCAGAATGTACAGGTTTATAAATTGGAATTAAACATAGAAAATTATGCGTTTTTTCTGGTTGGCAATTAAATTCCAAAATTTTATCTCAACATTAGAAGTCTAAAGAAAGAGCTAAAGAATATGAATCAAACTAGCTTTGTTCAGACCCACTAACTTCCTGTCTTCCCCCCAGAAAAAAATAACAACTCTGAATTGAAACACTTCATTTTATTAAGGAATAAACAGACAAGATATAATGCATTATTTAATGTTTTGGAGAAGCTGGCTGACAGATTCTGTGGTTGTTGGACAAACTCAAAGCGTATTTGCTTATTTTCAGTCATAGGCAATGCTACTGTAGGTGGCTCCTGACTGTAGCATAACACACTCTGGTACCGCTAGAAAACAGTTTCTGAAAATGGAAAATTCATTGACCTAAAGCAGCTCTATCTAAAGTAATCATTTATTCAAACGCTGAAGCATTCATGTATTTAGGGGCTGTTGTGGGTTTTATGTGCCAATCTTATTTAATGCCAAAGGGTATCAAAGCAAATATTTGAATAAACTCATATCCATACTAATAACAGCGACTGCACTTTGACACCTTTTGTTTTCTCCCATACCACAGAAGGATACAGCAGCAAGGGAATGGGTTCTTTGTCTGAGTTTGTAGTTTTGGAAACTTTTTCAGAGTCTGTATCAGATAAATCTTTTACGTTTCAATAGTGTCAAATAACCTAGAAAAGGCTGAAATTCTGCATCATCAAAAACACACAGAAAAAACATGTGATTTAGTAAAACATTACATCTAGTCAGAGTGTAAGGTTAAAAAGCGCCCAAGGACTTCATATACATTCAGTGTGATTTGAAATTTTAAATGAAAAAAATAAAATAATAATAATTAAAACAAAAGGAACAGATTTATGGATAAAATCTTTGATAAACATACTATCTAATAATATCATACAGACCAAACAGTTTTGTATGGATGCCCTGAAATGCTTGTCATCCTGCTCTGTTTTGCTTATAGCATATTTATCTTCTTTACATGTTTCAGATTCTTATAACAACTATTGTACACAGCTTTATGCTCACAAACAGACACACCCTACTCCGACTAATCCAGGCTTTTACTGAGGAGGCTACATATGTTGAACCACATCCGCATTAATGGAGATTTCATTTATACTCTCGACTGCTGTGGCAGCATTATAAATATGAACAATAAAATAGAATAGAAAATGGACAGACCTTTATGTCAAACACGGACTTGTGTTTTGAAAAGCCTGAATCCGTGAGAGTAGGCCCCGCATGTGTTGAGAAATATAAAGGAATAATATACTGTCGAGACCTTAAATTGTATGTTGTGCTTCCTGTACTCCAACATAAAACATTTATTATAAACCTTTGAATAGAATTTCTTTAACATTTACAAGTTATACATATACCAAATTGGTTTACTTCTTATGCTTCCATCAGCTTTGATATCTCAGCAATGCAAAGGGAGACAACAAGAAGAGAAAGGAAGTTTAAGTCTTCTTCAAACAAAATAAAATAAAAGAAAGAAACGAGACACAAGTCCTCAAAACATCTTGTCATAACCAACAATGAACAGAATTCTTGATATTCTTGATTTCTTTTTTTTATATAATACATTTTTTTAAAAACCCAGCTGGTTAAGGTTATGGTCTCAGGTAGATCTTCCACAGTCAATCTTCACAGTTTGTGTAAAAGCAGAGAAACATTCTCGCAAGAGTAATAAAATATCTTGACTATTATTATGGTCACTATCCCTTTTTTTAATTTTCATATTGTTCCATATAAATGGTGGTGGAGACGGGTGAGACACATCACCCTAACGAAGAGCCTGGAGTCCCGAAGTTTTTGCTTTCCTCGCTGTACAACTCCATGTTTTATTCAGTAGTTGCTCTTCTCTTTAGTTAAAAAATACTCGCCCACAGGGAAGGAGAATTATGAGAAGAGAGTAGGGTATTCATTCCTTGAGATGTCTTTATCCACTAGCTTGATCTTGAACCATCTTCAAGAATAAAAAAAAAAGAAAAGAAAGAAAGAAATCGTCAGCCTCCCTTTTTCCATTTTTATCCACATTCCTTCCGAGCGTGTGGCCAGGGGTGGGCACCAGCTCTGCCTGTTTTGCTGCCCTTTACGTTATAAAATGCAACGACCCAGGCATGTTACGCACACACATGGAGTCACAGGCAACCGTCCCATGGGGAAAATAATAATTGAGCAGCTCAACTTCTGTACTCCCTCTGAGCTTGCGTTGCTTTCCTTCAGCACTTGTGGGGCAAAAGAAACGATAGAAAATAGCCCATCAAAGGAAACATGAACAGAGACTTGTTCAATGTTGATTAACACTCAGGCTCACGATTCGGTTTGTAATCTGAAGGCACTTTTGTTTCATGGCAGAAAGTAAAGTGGCTTCTTTTCCACAGGCAGCACACTAAATGGATCTCTTTCTACTCTGCCTGTTTCTTCACTTAAAATTCTTCTTTTGAACCGATCTCTCCTCTTTCAAATTTTATTTTAGCTCCCTCAACTTGAACTTTACTGTGTACAACTTGCTAAGCGTTCTACCTTTAGCCCTGCGACCACACTGTCCGTTTGCCACTTGGACTCGTGAGCACAGTGTTATCAGATATGTAGGCAGCTACAGGGGGATAAACAGACATAACTAAATGTTGTCAGGTTCCAGATTTTCATACAGAAAAGCACCAAGCAGATAAGGAAATGCCAAAGTGTGAGGCTGGGCTAGGATGGAAAAAAAAAAAAAATTGATGATCAGCATCTGCTGCAAAAAAATAAGGATAAAAAAACAAATAAAAAAACGGTCTGATTTCACCTACTTCAAGGGAGGGAAGAAATACCCAAAATCTAAAAAGCCAGCAATCTGCGTTTTGCTGCAATCCAAAATGTTTTCCACATATTGACAAAATGATTCTTGTGCTTCACAAACTGATTTCCCTCAACCCTTGTGAACTCCTCTTTCTTGTGCTCATAAAATCCAGAGTCCTGCAGTCAGGATCGTTTTACATAGAAGAGGTCTCTTCAAATAAAGATTAGCAAGTTTTCTTTATTACTTTTTGTGTCGTCTTTCATAAAATCCACCCTGCCCTCCCCCCAATGGTCTGTGGTCCTTCTGGGGACCCTGATGCTTTCGGTATGCATGAATCTTTGGTGATTGGATGCAGAGGGTATAGCTCACAGACGGTGGGTCTGAACTCTCTCCTCCGAGATGACAAAGAAAAAGGGTCACCTTTGACCTTCAAGGAGAGTCAACACCAAGGTGGTGCAAAGCAGCCATATATGGGAGGATGTGGACAGAGCATTGGCACTGATATCTAAATAGGAGAAACAAAAGGAACTGTCAGCATTATGCACTACTAAACAATAAAGCATACAATTGCATAATAGTGGCTTTAGCTCTAAAAACAATTACATTGGCTTTCTATCTTACACATTAAATGTTTTTTTTTAAAGTGCTGCAATGTTTTTGGGTTACCTGCTAGCCAAGAAGGTAAAGGGTTCCACTAGTAAATATGCTGGTGAAGGTTCTCAGTCATCCAGGTTATAGTCATTCCCAAAAAAGGAAATTAAAAACAATCCACTGGACGTTGTTTCCAAGTTTGAAGATGTTTCGCTTTCAATCCAGGAAGCTTTTTCAACTCAAAATGTCAGGAATAGCATTGAGTTCGAGGTTTTATACATCAGGGTCCCCAGAAGGATAAAAAAAATACTTTGTTGGGCTACTGTATAGAACCTCGGACTCAACGCTATTCCGACATTTTGAATTGAAAAAACTTCCTGGATGGGAAGTGAGACGTCTTCAAACTTAAAAACTAAGTTCAGTGGATTGTTTTTAATTTTCTTTTTTGGAATTCCAAGAGTACACCTCTTCCTTCCTAACTTCCTGTAACAGTTAGGTTTGCTGCTGAACTGGCTTGTGCATAGCTAGGAATGGCAACTTTTGATTGTTTTTATATAACTGTTATAATTTTAAACATGCAGAAAATGTAAACAGAAATATTTTTATCTTTTTGTTTGCTGCTTCCTGTGAGTATAAATCACAAAATGCTTCAGCGACAAATAAGGGGTGTAGCTCTGGACAATTCCTCATCCAATAACAATAGGGTCTGTAGATTGCTAAAGTTGTTAGTTAGATGAAACAATTACGGTATTTGGGGGAAAAAAAAAAACAGTGTTTCCTTAATAATCATTTTAAATTAAAGTAGTACATCTGCAAGAATGCACTTAACCCATTGGCCACCATCTTTATGGGAGATCCTTTCTCTCAATTGACAGAACCTCAAACTCCTACCGGTTTCTCTGAAACGGTCTAACCAGGGCGACACAAGTTAACTCTCCTAACCTTCAGCTCCCTCTGAGATGCTGCTCAATATTCTCTCTTACATTATCTAAAGTCATGTAAGATTTATCATTCAAGATTAAATTTCATAATTTATTATCCTCTATCCTCAACCTGGGTGACGAGACCCTTCTACTCTCCATGAATTAATGTTACGAGTAACCATAAGGGATTGAATTAAATAAAATAAAGAATAAAATAATAGCATGAGTGGCAAAAAAAAACAACTAATCTACATGTACAGTGTACTTTATTTGATTTTTGTTTTTCACTCATTTTCTGCAACTTAAGTAAATGGGTAAAACAGATATTTCAGCAAGTGAAGCAAAGCAGTAGCTTTTCTCCTGGCTAACAATATGGCCTTGTCAACTGTAGGCCATTGTCTGTGGCCCAATATCTTTTTTTTGCCTTCATTGTTCCTGAGCTGCAATTACGATGTCCTGCTTGGCTAACAGCATGGCTATCGCTGATGCGATTACAACCTTGTTGCTATGGCAACCATGTTTTTTCCATGAGACGCTGGATCGGTGCAGCCAACTGTCTGAGATTAGATTCTGTAAATCTCAAGTATGCCTGGCGATGTAAACAGAGAATCTGGGGCTCAGATCAAATGAAAGACAGGAGGAGGTGGGCGCAACTCACTGGGCGGTGGATCTCGACACTCCCCTTCCTCTAGCGTGACATCATCTATAGCAATATCTCCCTCGATTCCTGGGCCCCGGATACCTTCAAGTACAACCTACAGAGAGTAAAACAGTTATTAGCAGATTATTTATTGTTCTATTGTCTTTACTAGGCTGAATTCAAAACATTACAGAAGGTGACAGGTACTACCTTTCATATTTAACAGTGAGTAACTATATTTTGATCAGTTAAAGATAAAGCATTTTTTCTGAAGCTGTTTCTATTTTCCAGTGTTATCCCTTCAGCTACAAAGTGTACATCAGCATCCAAAATATAACTGAATGTCAGCCAGTTTTATAGTCATGCACCCCTACAGTAAATAAATGCTTCATGAACACAGGCAGGAAATAAAACAGAGGACAGCCAGGGAAATGTATGTGCTCACAGGATTGATTACTTTTTTGTCTCACCTGGAAGGATGATGTTGGATGAATGCTTACTTTGGCCTGCTTCCACCGGTCACCTTGATTACCACTTAGCGACCACACGGGAGCGTCTAAGGTCATTTGGCCCTTTTGCTTTAGGAAGGCATTAAGTGTTCCTGTGTGAAGCAGAGAGAAAGTGACTGTGCCTGCTTTTTAAGACTTGTATCAATGTAAAATAACTATCGCTTTAGGTTCAGCATTATGAAAAAATGTAACTAAACAATCTTAACTGATTTACAGCTCTGCAAACTTATTGTTTGAGGTTTCTATCAGACATTTACCCTGTGTCATTAAAATGGTTACAGATATGGCATTGCATGGGATTAGAACACTGAGTAACTGCTGTGTCTTGCCAAAACAATTTGGTTTGTGAATAAACATTGATCTCTTGGCAATCAAGCTGATAGGCAATATGCTAGCCTGAATAAAAATCTGTTTGACTTTGACCTTTTTGGAAAAGAGGTGTCCAAGAAATATATCTGAAAATACAGGACAAGGTACAAACTTATTTTTATTGCTCCATTATAACAAAACAATATTAATTGGAATAACTTGAATAAGCCAGAATAAAGAGAAATCTGCAATGATTTTTTTTTTAAATGTGGACAGAAATAAGGTGATAAAAACAAACACCAACCAATAAAATAGACTAAAATAAAATAGACTACCTAAAAGATTATTAGTTTTTCCAAACTTTATAACATTATTTTATATGAGCAATTATGCACAACTTTCTCTAAATTGGGGACCACCGGCCCCCTATAGTTGTGCTTGAAAATTTACATTTACTTCAATAAAGACAGAAACAAATTACAAATACAAATTCCAGCAAATACAAATTATGACCATTTAAAGGTGTTGTCTGTAATGTTTAGTCAGAATTCTGCACCTGTTGACAGGTATGCTGGTTCACTGTTCATGAGCAAGGTACTTTAATTTGTCTGGGACAGTTGGTTTTTTTAGAATCATTTTTTAAATGAAAATCAATATTTCATATCAGAAAATTATCATTTAGTACATTTTTATTGATTATTACTTTTTTCAGTTTTTTTGTGATTTGATTTACTAGTGTAAATTTATCATTTTCTTTAACAGGGTATGAGGGTATGTTAATTTTCAACTACAGTTTACTGTACAAAGATCGCAGGTTGTACAAAAGTTTCTACAAATCACCTCCATGTAACAAGAAAAGATGTATCTCTGAAGATCTTATGGGAAAAAGCGTTCTGAGATTGGAGTTTCCAGGACTTTAAGTGCTATGTAAGGTAGCTTAAGCAAACAATCAAGTACAGACGTCCCAGCTATGGTCTTAATTTCATGATTAATCAAACTGCAAATTACAAAAAACATTTACTCATCATTTTATGTTCTATAATAATAATAATAATAATAATAATAATAACTGAACTTTATTGAACTCACATTGGAGAAATTTACATCTGCATTTAACCTATCCCATTGGGGAGCAGTGGGCTGCCATCGTGGGGTGCCCAAGGGGCAATTGGGGGTTAAAGGTCAGAGATCCCGAGTGTTAGTCTGTGGTAGTAGGTTTCAAACTCACAACCTCAGGATTCCGAGCCCTATGCCCTAACCACTAGGTGCCACTCCCCATTCTATGCCATAGTATAGTTTTAAAAACAGTATTTTAGAGACAATGATTATAAAAATGCTAAAATAAAACTGGAACCAAGATCTAGGAACATCAAAATTAGTATCTATGGGTTAAACATATTCCTACAGTGAAGCAAGGTTGTCATGATATGGACAGTGTTGTGCCTGAACGAGTTCATTAAACGAAAGTTCATGAACTCGTTCATATTTTGGGCGAACGTGAACTGAACGTACTGTATTACTGCCTGATGAACGTTATTGTGAACTCGTTCATTCTGCTGTCTGTGAACGGCTCGCTCTCTCAGTTCAACTCCTGTTCAATAGGTTGCCAAATTTCTCTAAAGCCCTCCAGGCGAAACCCCGGCTAAATCACACCGTAAACAGGCCTTAATATGTAGCGGGAAAAACACCCAATCTGGCAACACCAGCTACCAGTGTCGTAGCCTACAGCCGCGTGCGTCATCAAAACAAAATGCAGCGTGGAAGCCACAGCAGCATGGAGGCGACCGTGGATGCGACAAAGCAGCAGTATGATCACTTAAAACAGTTGTATGACCAGGTGGTCGGTGAGGATGATGACAATAATCTTACATTTCTCTGCAAACTTTGCCCGCCGGCTTTCAGTAAAAAAAAACGCACTTCAGTAACCCTAAATTCCTACCTCAGCCTGGTCCCTCAGTTTGTGTTAGTCAATGTTCTTGAGGGTTTTACTATTCATGTAACTTGTTTGTTAAACCTGCCTGGTATAATTTTCCAGGATTCCAGTATTCCTTTTTAGTATGTACTGAAATGGAATTTCAAATTGAAAAAATTATTAAAATTAAAAAAAACATTTGCACCTTACAGACTACTTTGCTGTTTTTCTTTTAATAAATCCTCATAAAAAAGACCATTCAAGCAGCACATTTTTCCTGATGTTTTTGAGAATATACTGTAGGGGTGAAAGCTGCAGCTGCTACTACTGTGAAGTGAATGGACAGCAACAAATGCTGTCCCCTCAATGCTAATGTAAACCCTGGTTGGATAAGGATTCAAAACTGGATATGAAGATAAAATCTGACGCACAGTTTCAGAGTTACAACTGACAAAATAATTGCTGTCTGTGGTTCTACAGTAGGTTATGGTGTAATTGAGCAATATATGAAAAAAAAGAACTATGAACTATTTCATTTTTTGGAACTGTGAACTTAGTTCAAAATTTTGAATTATGAACTATGAACTGAACTACTTCATTTTAAAATGTGTGAACTGAACTTTGAACTTGTTCACGTAGAAAGAGAACTTTCCCAACACTGGGTATGGATTCATGTCACTGGAACACAGAAAGAGAGCTTAAATTATGGTTGTGTAAAAACAGTCAAAAACACAAAGAATTTGATCTTTCCCAGTGGAAAATGAATAAGGACAAAATCAATTACTTTGAAAAGCCTCTTAATCTCTAATACAGCAAAACAGAATAGTTGTATGCAGGTTCCACACTGAGTTTAATCAAAATTTAAGAGTCGTAATCCCTCCTATTTCCGTCCTTTTAAAATATTTATATTCCCATGCAAATGAAGAAAAGCCAAGCAGTGGCAAAGGTTAAACTCTGGTCATATAAATTAGTTTTGCAAGTGATAAATTATTCTGTAATGATCAAATTAAATTGTGATTTATGTGCGATGTGTGTCGAGAGTACCCCAGTTCTTCTTTCTTTCCATTTGAATCAAACTCTTTCCCCTCATTTCAGGTGACTTTCTTTAACAACAAATGTTTCTAGCTGAGTTCCTACATAACCACTCCAATTTTATAAAAATATTGGCTCCTATTGCTGCAGAAAACTCAACATGCCAGGTCTGAAGACTCCCTTCACAGAGACCTCCTGTCTGGCCTTACGCTTTAATATGAAACTGTAAGATGATGACACTGAGTGCAAACGCTTTACTCTTCCTTCAAAACACAATTTTGAAATTTATTTATATAATTATTTTCTATTTTCTGAGCCGCTTGTGTGCATGTGAGTACTATCCTTTTGTGGTTGACAAGGGGGAGCAGCTTCCAAAGGTCCAAATGAGGTTAGCTTTAAGCCCAACTGTGAAGCCCTACAGGACCAGTTCTTTAGGGTTGGGTGAATTTTAAGCGTGGAGTATTTTCGGCTTGGAAAACAGCATCTGAGCGCCAACACAACTGGAGAGCCAAACCTACAGCAACTGGGACTGCAGTCATGAGTTTAATACATCCTTTCCTCAGCAAGGTGTCTCATTACTGCTCAACTCTTTCGAAAAAAAAAAAAAAACATATCTATGTGAGGAATTGAGGGGAAGCTACACTGTATGTCTCTGCTCATAGTGTCTCATCAGCTCAGCACACTCTTTCCCCATCGACAGCACAATCTCCTGTGAGAGATGAGCTCCTGTACGAAACATGACCTGCGGTTTCATCTCCTGTTGGAGTGTTTAGAATGGAGGAGGATTTCCTGCTGAGCAAGCTGGCTCACTTTTTCTTTGAACCCATCATGATGTAGGCGGTTATGTCAGTGTCATCATATCCTGAACAAAGGCATGTGTTGTATATTCTTTGTTGTACCTTTTTTCCTAAAGGAGTACCTTTGGCAGCCTTGTGGACATTAAAAAGATCTGAGTTGTAAATTACGTGAGTCTGGCTAAAAGGGAGAAATAGCTCCTGGAAATGTTTAATTATGCAGAGAGGACAAGTGAGGGTTGTTCTAAGGAGCAGTGCCACCATTGTTGATTAAAAAAATATAAGTTTGTGCTACAAAAAAGGTCAGGCTTTAGAAAAAATACTAACTTTGCTTTGCTTGATACTTAATCCTATAAACAAAATCAGATGTGGGCTCCAAAGTCAAACTGTGATGTGTTGTTCAGTAATTGAGTGTGACCTTGTCTCAGGTATCCCTAAGCAAGCAAACAACTGAGCAGTTTTTTTTATGCTGTGCCACTGTTCTCCTCTGAGTGTGGTTGGCTTTGCAACGACTGAATGTGGATTCGACTTCTTAAACAGAACCACCCAGTAGCGTCGAAATAGTGAGATTAAAAGAAGTAGTATTCACAGAAAATCTCCCCAAACTATCTTAAACTGATTGGAGTAAGTCTTTTGACATCATATATTGTTGTGTAAATAGCGTTCTGTTTGAACTTTTTTATGTTCTCTAATTGTAAAACTACAAACTTAAATGTATGCTTTGCATTAAAGATTAAAACAAAGTAGCCTATTATAATGGACTGGAAGCATTTTTTTTCATCTAATACCTGAAACATACACATCAAAAGCACTTTTCCTTGATTTGGAGTATCAAATCTTTGCAGAAATATTTTTATCAGTTTTGATACAATCATTTGCCCTTCTTCTGATTTTATGGGATTATTTGTAAATACTTTATTGATTCTATTAAAAATAGGATCATTAGCACTCCTCTAAATATGATCAGAGATGGCAAAAGTACTGACTTTCCGTACTTGAGTAAAAGTACAGATACTTGTGTTAAAAAATACTCTGGTAAAAGTGG